CGAACTCACGGACCTCGAGATCGTGACGTGAGCTGAAGTCGGACGCTCAACTGACTGAGCCACCCAGGCGCCCCATTTACATATTATTTTTGAGAGTGAGAGTGCGAGTGGGGGGAGAGGCAGAGAGAGAAGGAGACACAGAATCCGAAGCAGGCTCTGGGCTCTCAGCTGTCGAAACAGAGCCCAGCGTGGGGCTCGAACCCGCGAACTGGGAGATCGTGACCTGAGCCGAAGTCAGATGCTCAGTCGACTGAGCCACCCAGGTGCCCCTGTAAGTGCTTCTCAACAAGCACTCACTGCATCTTAATGTCCGGCATGCTGGTGGGTTCAGCCCAGCGAGTGCTGGAGTTACTGTGACAGCAGCTGTCATCTCCCAGGCCCTGCGCTAAATATCCCTGCTACGTAACTCATGTGCTCCTTCCTGCCTCAGCACTGTCACCGACCCCATTTCTGAACCCCAGGTGAGAAAACCGAAGGCTCGAGAGGTTAAGTGACATGCCCAAAGTCACATAGCTACTGCCGGTAGAGCCAGGATTCACACTCCGGAGTGACTGAAATCACTCTGCCACAGGCCACAGCCTGTTACTCAGGGGCTGCATCTGACCTGAATACATGTTTTGTTTGGCCTGCAAGATGTCGGGTGGTTTTTTGTTTGGGGTTTGGTTGAGTTGGGTAGTTTGGCTGCTTTTGAAACCTGGGCCTGAGCTGCTACGTGGGTGACTGTCAGCTGGAGTAAGTAGCAGGTGCCCCTTTAGACTGGTTGGCATGGCTCCGTCTCAGCCTGGCTTCGCTCATTGCTTGCCCAGCCTGTTGTGCTCTTCGGTGCAGAGAGATGCGAGCATCTGCTACCCCTTCCGCTGCACAGACGCCTAGGGGACAGGTGTCAGAGTCACCGGTGGGGCTACCTGCCATAGTGAGCCACGGTCACCTGAAGGAGTTTGTTGTTTCTCTGTGTTGTGTTAGAGCGGGATAAAGATTGAAAACTTCCTTATCCCTGTTTCCCGAAAGTGTCATCTGTGTCACACTAAACTGAAAAGGCTGTGGAATGAAGGTCAGAACCGGGTTCAAGTCTCACCTCTGCTTCTTACGTACATGAGCAAGTCAAGTTTCTTCTCGTAGCCCCGGTTTCCTTCTCTGTAAAACAGAAGCCAGCAGTCCCTGCTCTGCCCACGTACGTAGGTGTAACCAGCAGCCCCCGTGAGATCATGGTCAGGAAAGTGCTTTGTGAACCAGGAAGATCACTTGTACAGGATAGTCCGTGTCCTCAGCTTGGCTCTGGGACCTCTGGGAAGCTTGGCTGGGCCCTCCACAGGGAAGAGAGTCTACATCCTTGAGGCCGGGCCCTGTCTTTGGGGTCACAGACTTGTATTAGGAAGGAGAGCCCTAGGAGCTGGTCAGGCACTGCCCAGGAAGGGGCTTCCCATGGGTTTGGATACGCTTTGCAGCACGTAGCTGGGACCACCCTACCAACACAGCGCTGTCCTCCTCATCTAGCGCTGTTCCCTCTGGGGAAGTGGACTATCCTGGGCCATGTCTACCCTCCAACCTACCCGCCCCACAGGCACCTGCTAGAGGGCTTGGGACTCAAGTGGGACTATGGAAGCATCGTCTCATAAAGCCAACTAATCTGTGAGAGTCAACTAATGTAACCTGCGAGATCTCTGTGTGTTTCAGAGGTGTGATTTGTTTATTCATTGCACAAAGTTCACTTAACACTCGCTCTGTGCTGGGTGCTGGAGGTGAGCAGGGGTTCCATAGATAGATGCAGTTATTTGTGGTTGAAGGATCCTCTGCTGGCCTGAGCTCAGAACACTTGAGGAGATGTCGTGGACGATGAGGCTGAAAGGGATAGCTGAGCCTCCCACACCAGGAAGGGGACTTTGGGCTTTATCTTGCAGGTCGTAGGGAGCCATTGAAGGTTTTTGACAATGCCCTGTTAGCTTATGGGAGGAGGAGCACGAGAGTAAGACCAAGTTTAGTCTGGGATGTGTTGGGTTTGAAGGTCTGTGGAACATTCAGTGGTTTCTATCTGATAAGCAGTTATATGAGTCTGGACTCAGGAAAGTTCTGGGCTAGGGTCAGCGATCTGAGAGAGTGGCTATACATAGAACCATACCGAGGGAGGGGGGGAGGATGAAAAGTGGAGTGTGGTTCAGCCCCCTCAGATTACAGAAGAGCAGGTGGGAGCCGGAGGACTCATTTGCTTCAGGTCTCAGAAGGAAGTGTCATTCAGGGCGCCTGGGTGGCTCAGTCGGTTGAGCGTCTGACTTCAGCTCAGGTCATGATCTCGTGGTTTGTGGGTTCAAGCCCCATGTCGGGCTCTGTGCTGACAGCTCAGAGCCTGGACCCTGCTTCAGGTTCTGTGTCTCCCTCTCTCTGCTCCTCCCCTGCTCATGCTCGCTCTCTCTCTCTCTCTCTCTGTCTCTCAAAAATAAATAAACATTTAAAAAAAGTAAAAAAAAAAAAAGTGTCATTCATCCACTCAACAGTTACTCGTTGAATACCAACTGTGTGCTAGGAACTATTCTAAATGTTGAGATATAGCAGTGAGCAAAAACACTTATGGAACTTATATTCCAGAGGGTAGATTCAGAAAAACAATTAAATAAATATGTCAAGTGGTGGTAAATGCTATGGATAAAAAGTAGGGTGAGGAGACTAAGGAGTACTGGTTGGTGATTTGTATCTTATATGGAATGGTCCAAGGAAGGCCTCACTGATAAGGTGACATTTGAGCTGAGACCTGAAAGAAACAAGAGAATAAGCGAGGCAGATGCCTGAGGAAAGAATGTTCCTAAAAGCTGGAACAGTAAGTGCAAAGGCCCTGAGACAGGAGTGTGCTTGGCATGTTGAAGGATGTGCAAAGAGGCTGGTGTGGCTGAAGCTGATTGAGCAAGGAGGAGGGTGCTTAGAGGACAACAGAGTGCAAGAGACGTGAGTGAGGGGCACGGGAGATCAGGTGGGGCCACTTAGGCCATTGTAAGGACTTTGCCTCTTAAGACGATAAACCTTGGAGGGGTTGCAGCCAGAATGACGTGATATGACTTCTATTCAACAGGCTCACTGTGGCTGCTGTATTTAGAACAGACTGTAGGAGGCAGGACAGAAGCAGGGAGACCAGTGAGGAGGTGTTTGCTGTCATACAAGGGAGGGACGATAGGGTCCCTGGTTGGGATCACTGCTGCCAGTAGAGGGGTTGAGAAGTGGTTCAGCTCTGGATATATTTTAATGGTAGAGACAGCAGAATTTGCTGATGCCTTGATTGAGGAATATAAGAAAAAAGAGGAATTGGGAATGACTCTTAGGATTTCGACCCAAGCAATGGGAAGTATCATTGGAGCTGTCTTTAGGATAAACTGTGATGAGCGGATCTGAAGGGAGAAATAAGGAGAGTTCGGGGGTGGACAGGTGAAATGAGGGCTGCCTCACGGACACTGACATGAAATTCAAGTCGGCAGTACCAGCAGCACTAAGGGCCCCATTCCAGCCCCTTCCTTCCAAATTCTGGGTCCTTCTATCCCTTTCTGGGCCCGTCTTCGTAACTCTCAACTCTCTCACCTCTGGCAGTTGACCTGGGCCCCTAGCAGCCTGCCCACATGGAGAACTGACCGGACCCTCTGCCCCTAGGTTGTTCATAGGGACCTCAAGCCCAGCAACATCCTGTACGTGGACGAGTCTGGGAACCCTGAGTGCCTGCGCATCTGTGACTTTGGCTTTGCCAAGCAGCTGCGGGCTGAGAACGGACTCCTCATGACACCTTGCTACACTGCCAACTTTGTGGCACCCGAGGTGAGCGCTCCAGCCTCCTCACCTGCGAGAGTGAGGGGCCCTGGCACAGGAAGCCTCGTGCCCTTTACAGAGGCCCCACGCTATCCAGGATTCTAGTCTGTATGGTCTTGGCTTAGGTACCAAGAGAGGATCCAGCCTTGGGGCGCCTGGGTGGCTTAGTTGGTTAAGAGTCCGACTCTTGGTTTCGGCTCAGGTCATGATATCGCAGCGTGTGAGTTCGAGCCCCGCATCGGGCTCCGTGCTGACAGCGCAGAGCCTGCTAGGGATTCCCTCTCTGTCCCTCTCTCTCTGCCCCTCCCCCATTCACTCTCTCTGTCTGTCTCTCAAAAATAAATAAATAAAACTTTAAAAAAAAAAAGAGATCGAGAGAGAGAGAGAGGATCCAGCCCATGGCTGGGATCCTTGTCTTACCCTCTGTGGGGACCACGCAAGTGTTCGGGGCCACTTGGTGCTGCACGTCTGACTAATCACCCTCCCCTACCTTCCTGCCAGGTGCTGAAACGCCAGGGCTACGATGAAGGCTGTGACATCTGGAGCCTGGGCATTCTGCTGTACACCATGCTGGCAGGGTGAGTGTCCCCTTCCCCCCAGCCCATTCCTCCAGCCCTAGTGCACAGGCTGGGGTGGTCTGATGGGAGAGACTCAGCTCTGCTCAGGAAGGTCTGAAGATACAGATGTAGCCCTGCCTTCAGGAGCCTCACCTGGACGGGGAAGATACCGCCCTGGGGAATACTCAGCCTGGCGGGGAGACACAGCCCCCCCCATCCCACCCTTAGCCCCAGGATGGGGGCCAGAGGCTAGACCCAAACTGGGTGGACCTTTCTCCAGATACACTCCATTTGCCAATGGACCCAGTGACACACCAGAGGAAATCCTGTCCCGGATTGGCAGTGGGAGGTTCACCCTGAGTGGGGGAAACTGGAACACAGTTTCAGAGACAGCCAAGGTAAGTCTGTGAGGCCCAGCTCATCTGGGATGGGGAGGCAGGGTCCCATCCTAGGGTGTTTTAGCAGTTCATGAACAGATGGCCTGCAACCTGGTTTTTCCAAGTGGAATGTTCCATAAATCCCTGTTGCTATATTTCTCCAAGTGGAACACTCCCAGGAGGACTGCCCTCCTGCCTTGTTTGGACACCTCGATGATCATCACTGGCCCTTCCCATGTTCTGACCCTGTGGGGGACAGAAGGCTGCATAATCGCAGCCCCTGGCTTGTGGGACCCTGGTGTGCGGAGAGATATGGGCTTGCACACAAGGAGCAGAGATGTCTGGCAGCAGAGAAAGGCAGGCCCTCCTCCAGGGTTGCAGGCATTAAAGGCATGGAGCAGAGTTACTGACCATGTGAAGCACAGAGGCCTTCTCAGAGGAGGGAACATTTGAGCCCTCAGTATTAGCAAGTTTCCAGTTAAGGGAGCCTCTGTGCCAGGCAATGGGTTAAGCCCTTACTCAATGGTACCTCACATCAAACTTATGAGGCAGATATTTGTTATCCCTCTTTCTCAGAGGGGAAACTGAGGCTCGGAGGGTTGAAGTAATTTGCCCAGGATACTCAGTTGATCAGCAGAAGAATCAAGTTTTGAACCTGAGCCTACCTGATCCCAGTCTTAGGTTCTCCCCACCTTCCTGCGTGGCTTCTAGAAGGTGAAAGAGAAACGAAAGGATGTTCCAGGAAGTCCCAAAGAAGGGCATGTGCTTGGGGAGGCCTTGGAATGATCTGGAACATGGATCGCAGGGGCTCCTGCAAGGGTTCAGGCAGGAGATGGTGGGAGATGGCCGCCTTGTCCATTTCTCACCAGTGGGACACAGCCTGGGCTCCCCTGCCAGCTCCTCCCACCAGCCCTCTTGTTTGCTGTGCCCCCCCAGGACCTGGTGTCCAAGATGCTGCATGTGGACCCCCACCAGCGCCTCACAGCTAAGCAGGTGCTGCAGCATCCATGGATCACCCAGAAAGACAAGCTCCCCCAGAGCCAGCTGTCCCACCAAGACCTGCAGCTCGTGAAGGTATGGCCACTCCGGGCTGCTGGGCATCTGGTGGTCCAGGCCAGGGTTCCATGGGTAAGAACTTGGGTGGCACAGCCAGGAGGTGTCATATCTGTCTGTCCTCAGGGAGCCCCAGTCTAACGTGCAAGAGTGTCAGCTGTCCTCTGGGGGGCATAGGCTCTGACTCTGAAGCCTCCAGTGTGGTGGAGGAGGCAGGACTAATGACCATGAAGGAACGCCAAGGCTGAATTAAGAGGTGGCTGGGCGGGTGTGGAACACAGAGAGGCTGGGGAGCACACGTCCCCCCTCCCGCCTATACCTCCCACCGTTGTGATCTGACCTCCCACCCTCTCTCCCAGGGAGCCATGGCAGCTACGTACTCTGCTCTCAACAGCAACAAGCCCACCCCCCAGCTGAAGCCCATCGAGTCCTCTATTCTGGCCCAGCGGCGGGTGAGGAAGCTTCCGTCCACCACCCTGTGAGAGGCCAGGGCGTCCAGGCCGCAGGGCGGTGCTAGCTCGATGGAGGCAGCATACTTCCCAGAGGGAGCAGGCCTGAGTCACGGGGCCAGAGGAAGCGGAGCCCCCGAGGGACCCAGGAAGCAGCCAGCCCGGATCACCCCCAATGAGGGTGTGAGAAGTGCCTTCTCCTTCCCCGGGATGGACTCTTCTCGGCTCATGCTCTGCTGGTTGAAATCAATTCACTGTACAGACTCTTACCTTTTTTTTTAAGGGAAAAATGGCATCAAACTGCCATGGATTTTTACAAGATCCATTTGCCTTTCTGGGAGCAGAAATAGCCAGTGAGGCCCCAGGAGGGGCACTGAGTCATACTAGGGCTCTCTGTGGCTGAGACTCCTTAGAGCTTTGGCATCCTCCCCCGGGGAACCCCACGATTGGCCATCTGTAGCCATCTGCACATACCTCCAAGGCAGTCCAGCACCACCTTCCAAAGCCCTTGGCTGTTTAGCAGAATTTGCTCTATCCGCAGTCAGCTCCTTTTCCGTTCTGTTCTGCTGGGGCAGGGGAAGGGTCTGAACCTCTTCCTGCTAGAAGAGAGGACCAAGACTCCGTGGCTCCCAGCTCCAGGCACCAGCATCTACACCGGCCCTGCCAGTGGGTTCCCTGCAGTGAGATTGGGCAGCCCCAGGAGGAGGATCGAGAAAGCACTTTTTGGCTGACTTGTGTTGGAGTCTGCTACAGGACAGAGTTCGCAGGAGGCCTGTGGGGCTGGCCAAGAGAGGCAGGGGCTCTTTTTCATTTCTTCCTCAGCTGGTATCTCAGGGTTCACCTGTCCATGGCCTTTCTAATAAACTTTCAGTTGAGTTGAAGCACACTGGCCTCTCTTCTCATCCCTGAATTTGCCCTCTCTGCTGTTGGGTGTTGAGGACTTTGCAGCCACAATGGGCCAGGGCCAGCGAGCCCAGCTGCTTGGAGCTCAGGTCACTTGGGGAGCAGGTGGGACTCCCACCGGGGATTCCCATTATGGTATTGGCGATAGTGACGGTGTTATTAGCCACCAGTGACCAAGTGTCAGGCACTGTGCCTGGGTCTCACGTGTATATTTCATTTGATCTTAATGTTGTGAGGTAAATGCTCTTCTTTCATTATCTCCATTTATAGATGGGGAGACGGGCCGAGAGAGGAGAATGACATTTTCTCCACAATAAGTATTTTCTGAGCACCTGCCCTGGCCCTGCTCCAGACACTGGCGAACCAGGTAGAAAATAAGGTCATTCGTTGTTTTCACGGGTCTTCTCTCCTAACAGGGGAAATGGGCAAACTGAGGTCCGCTATGGATAAGACATATGCAGAATTAAATTGGGATGCGAGGTGGCATGATCAGGAAGACCTCCCTGGGGTCTTCTGAGGTGACCCAGAAGCTGGGATTGAATGATAAGGGGCTGTCCAAGACCGGGAGACAGGGTAGTGTCGGGACAAACGCCCCAAGGGGGAAACAACCCGAGCATGTTCAGGGAAGGACCAAAGAAAAGGCGATATGGCTGTGCTATCAGGGCCGGAGGTTTGCATGAGATGAGGCTGGAAAGGAAGGTGGGGCCGGTCATGCTGGGCTTTGTGGCCCAGGGTAAGGAGTTAGGGTTTAGTTCCAAGAAGAAGCAGGTTATAGGCTACTACAGTGGCTCCGATAAGAGATGAGGTGGCCTGGACTAGGACGGTGAGAGAGGCAATGGGGAGGAGGTGGGCAGGTAGGATATGCTTTGCCGGTAAAGTAGACCACATTTGCTGGCAGTTTGGGTAGAGAGGCTAAGAGAAAATGGAGATTCGTGAGATCTTCCAGATTTCTGACTGGAGCAGTTGAATACTGAGGGGAAAGTTGTGGAGGAATAGGCTTGAGACGCCTGTGGGAGATATCTTTAAAATCTCCAAATAGAAATGTCACCTAAGAGTCGTAACCAGAAGTCAGAGTTCTGGAGAGAGGTCTGGATTGGAATTATAAATCTGGGAGTCATTAGCTTGGAAGAAATTTGTAGAGCCAAGAGGCCGGGCTTTTCCAAGAGTGGCTCACGGACCAGCAGCGGCGGCGTCTGGGAACTTGTTAGAAAGGCAGGATCCCGGGCCCATCCCCAGACCTACTGAGTCAGATTCTACATTTTAACGAGATCCGCATATGGTTTGTGTGCACACCGAAGTTTGAGAAGTGCTGTTCTGGGGACTGAGAGCAGAGAAGAAAAGGGACTGCCACTGAGCCCTGGAGCATGCTAGCACTTCGGGGCGGCACAGAGAAGGGAGAGCCAGCAGAGGAGACAGCCAGCGAGCGAGACCTGCCAGTCTGGCAAGATTCGAAGCCTTATGAACCAGGGCTTTTGCTCCTGTTATGTCTCAGCCTTCCCACTCTGCAGGTTAGAAAACCAGGGCCATAGAAGTGAATAAATCCTGTTAGGATAGAAGGAGTTTCTGACCCTAGCAGCCCAGCTTCAGAATTGGCCTAAGCATGCGGATTCTGAGCTAGCCACCTCCCCATAGGAGCAGGGAAGGCAGTAGTGGAGTCCCAGGGGCTGAGGAACCCTCCTGAGCACCCACTGATGCACACAGTGCTGAGCCCCTGACCTGGGTACGTTCCACTCCCCTAAGACTCAGTTTCCCCAACTGTGCAGTGAAACCAACATTCCCTGTCCTGCCCACCACCCAGGGTTGTTCACCCTGGACCCCCTCGCCCCACCTGGAATCCTGGGCATCATCCCTGACTCCTTCCCCCACTTCCCATCCAATCTGCATCCTGACCCCATCAATTCTGTCTCCTAAATATTGGGGGGGATTTATCTCCCCCTCTCCATCCTCCCCCTCCTCATATTTTTGTTCTTTGCCACAACCTACTAATTCCCTCCAGTCTTTTGTGTCCCCAACACCCTCCATTTAGAATTACAAATCTGGGGGCACCTGGGTGGCTCAGTCGGTTAACCATCCAACTTTGGCTCAAGTCGTGATCTCCTGGTTTGTGGGTTTGAGCACCGCAGCACAGAGCCTGCTTCAGATCCTCTGTCTCCCTCTCTCTCTGCCCCTCCCTTGCTCATTCTCTCTCTCTCTCTCAAAAATAAACAAACATTTAAAAAATAACAATTAGAATGACAAATCTGACCCAGCAACTGCCTGGATTGGCTCCTCATCGTCCACAAGACGGAGCTCAGGCTGACAGTGTCCTGTGGGATCTGGCCCCTGCTGAGCATCAGCTCTCAGAACCTGCCCTTCTCGGCTGCTCACAGAACCTGAACTTGCCATGCTCCTGCCTCCCCTGGATTCCGCTGTGACATGTTCTGGTTGACTCCTACTCATTCTTTAGGAAAATTTGAATGACACTTCCAAGAACCCCACAGACTCCAGTAATCCTCCTTCGGGATCCCCAGACACGCTCACCATGCTCCATTTCTTTGTACATCACACTGTTTGGAAAAAGCTGATGATGTCTTCCCCCCACCAGACACACACATCAGACTGTGAACTTGAGGATGTGGACGTGTTTTGTTCATTTCTGTACCCCAAGCACCAAGCATCAGGGCTGGCCCACAATATTTTGGTCCTTAGCTAGCATTTGTTGAATGGGTGAGCACAAGAGAAAACAGGAATAGGGACTTGATGGTGGGACTGGGGGAAGCATAGAACCTATGTCCTTGGGGCACCTGAGTGGCGCGGCCGGTCGGTTAAATGCCTGACTCTTGGTTTCAGTTCAGGTCATGATCTCACACTTCATGGGTTAGAGCCCCACGTCGGGCTCCGTGCTGTTGGTGCAGAGCCTGCTTGGGATTTTCTCTCTCTCTCTCTCCCTCTTTGCCCCTCCCCTGCTCATTCTCTCTCTCCAAAAAATTAAATAAACTTAAAAAAAAAGAAAGAAAGAAACTATGCCCTCAGAGTTGCAGGAGACTGGAACTGCATCTGGGGAGGAGGAAGAGAAGCTGGTGCTCTGAGGCCCAAAACAGTCCGTATTGGCCCCCGGCACCAAAGGGAAGAATCAAGAACCAGGAATTGGTGATGGGTGGGATGGGAGCCCATAGGTGTTTACTTAGCAGCTAAACTCTAAAGCACAAAATAACTCGCCTCTCTGAGCCTCAGTTTCCCCACTTGCTAAATGGGATATAATTCATGTCCATCTCACCATGTCACCTGAAGATCAATGAGCAAATGAATATGCATACGTTTAGGAAAGGAAAAGTGTAGCTTGTACCATTAAGCTTGTTCTAATGTTCCCAAAGTCAAGACAGCTCCCCAGGACCTCAGTGGATTCCAGAAACACAGTTCGCCACCAGCAGCATCTCAGCCAGGAATTTCCTTCTCTGAGGTGCTGACTCCCTGGGCAAAGCCCACTGATAGAAATAACCGGGCTTGGGGGGAACAAACTGTGAATCCATATGTCCCTAAATTCCAAAGTCACTCTTCCCTCCTCATGTGAAGGAGATATGATCAGTTCCGATTCATACACGGGAAAATCGGGGCTTGGAGGTTAAGTAGTTTGCCCAAGGACACGGGTGAGTGGCAGAGCAGAACTCAAATCGGAGTCTGTGCGATTCTGAAACTCTCTCACCAGAGTGTGCTGTCCCACCTCTGTGCTTCTGAGAATGTTCAAAGTCTAAATGTTCCACAGATCTGCCGGGTCATCACTCTTCCCCTCAGCCAGCCACGTGATCATAAACGTTCCTATGATATGGGGTCGGCTCTCAATTAGAGGATGTAGTTGTTAGTTCCAGTTCCCAGCTGGCAAAACAACGGAGAACACGCTGGGAAATGTGGGGAGTTTCCTACAGATGGTCTCAGAAGGTAGTGAGTTCCCCATTGCCTGGGCTTCACACAGAGAACTAATGAGATCTGTCAGGATCTTACAGGAGATTTTTGCTCCCAGCCGGGGACTGTTTAGATAGCCTATGTGTCTCCTCTCGAGTCAGGGACCCACATTCTCAACTGTTGGCACAGACATCAAAGTCCCTGAGCGTTTCTTGCATTTTACCCCCTTTATGTACCACGTTCTCCATGATTGTTTCTAAGACAGGCAGCCTCAGAAAAAAGGGTGGTTTCCTACATATGTTAGGTATCCAAACATTTGGTACTTTGGTTAACGCTTGGATTTCTCTGACCCAGCCCTCATAAAAGACTGCCAAAGGACCTGCCAATCTGTGATTTGGCCATTCATTTAATGGCCATAATAGTAGGAACGATTCATTGAGTTCCTTCTTTACACGGAGCACGACATACACAGGCAGCTACCCCCATTTTTCAAGAGGATTTTCACCGATTCGAAAAAGGCGAAAAGTGAAAATAAATAGTACTGTTTGTTTGCAGTGAGCTCTTATAGAGGCAGTGCTCACCCCAAAGCAGCCCCACCAAACTCCTCCCAGGGGAGCTACACTCAACATCAACCCACTATAGGTTTGTTTTTTCTTTTTTTTACATAAGCTCTACACCCAGCTGGGCCTTGAACTCAGGACTCCAAGATCAAGATTGCATGCTCTACCAACTGAGCTAGCCAGGCTCCCACAAGCTACCATAGCTTTGAACTGGGTCTGTGAACATCTGTGCTTGATTTCGGTTTGTTCTGTGTATCCGTTAGCAAGATGGGTCCTACAGTATCAGAGAAGCCTAAGAGGTTATTTTTGGGGTCTGGGAAAGCTAAAAAAAAAAAATTCCATATACATTAACGTTAATTGTTTCTTCACTTTACATGTCACTTTGGCTTACAGAAGCTTTCATAGAAACATTCGTACTTTCGGATAGTGGAGGAACCCTGTACTCAAAGCAATCTCATGAGGTAGGTATTGAAATTTCCGTCTTATGAGGCTAAGAGAGAAAACTTGCCCACAGTCCCCCAGCAAGGAGGTGACTGAGTCAGGT